CCCTACCGCTGTGCTATAGCTCCGCGATTCCTCCGCCCCTCTCGGAGAGCCCGGCAAGCTACCGAGAGTATCTCGCCCGCACGGTAGAGCCTGGCAAGCTACCCGTGACGTATTGGATATGCCAAACACAGTAACAACAAAGTCTCCAATGGAGACGTTACTGGGCCTGCTCGAGCAAATCGACGAACAACGGGAGGGCCTTTACCTTTTACCTTTATCACCTCTTGTCATAACAGTGATACCAACTTAAAACATTATTCCTGGGGCTGGAGCGATAGTACAGCTGGGAGGGCATTTGCCTTGCACACGGCCAACCTGGGATCGATTCCCAGCATTCCATATGGTTCCCCTGAGCAACACCAGGAGTAATTCCTGAGTACAAAGCCAGGAATAACCCCTGTGCATCACCGGGTGTGACCCAAAAAGCCAAAAAAAATTATTCCTAAATCAATTCCTACCTTTTCATCAAATCATTCCCATCACTGTACAAAGCATGTGGAATAGGACAGGGAGGGGAACACTATGACTATAGTAGAGATAAGTGGTCTCTCTGGAGAAAGAGAGGGTGCTCTACATCTTGGAATGTACCCCTAAGGGCCCAAAACAAAATGGAGAAAAGACATTTGCACCCCTGTGTTCTTTGTGTCACTATCCACAATAGCCCAAATCTGGAACCCAAGTGTTCAAGATCAGATGATTGAATAAAGAAACTATGATGCATGATACATATACACAATGGAATATTACCTGGTCACAAGAAAAGACAAAATTGTGCAATTTGCCACTACGTGGAAGTACTTGGAGAGTATCATGCTGAGTGAAGTCAGTCAGAGAGAGAGAGACTGACACAGAATGATCTCTCTCATATGAGGGACATAAACATCATGTTGGACTAAGGAATACCCAGAGACAGTAGAAACAAAGAACACAAGAATTACAGCGGTAGAGCGTTTGCCTTGCACGCAGCCAACATAAAAATTTAAAAATAAAGTTCCAGTTTGTAGGTGGAAGGCAAAACAGGTGGGAGGAAATTGGTGGAAGGAAGTGGACACTGATGAAGGGATCAGTGTTGAAACATTGCATGCCTGAAATCCAATCATAAGTAGCTTTGTAATTCCACAGAAACTAAATAGATAATAATTTTTTTTAATACAGGTAAATAGTAATAAAGAAAATGAGAAGTGTAGTGTAGGCTGGAGGGAGAAGAGAGAGGTTAAGGTCCAGTCAACCTGGGTTCAACACCAGCACAGCCAGGAGTGACTTTTGAGCAGAGAGCCAGCTGCATGTCCTGAGCAACACTGGGTATGACTCAAACTCCGCCACCAAAAACTGAAAACAGTATCTGAACATATTCTCCAAATACTGGTAAATTCCCAGAAGCACTAGACAAATATTCATCATCCATCATGAAGAAAATTGTGGCACTGTAGCACTATCCTCCCATTGTTCATCAATTTACTGAAGCGGGCCCAGTAACGTCTCCATTGTGAGACTTGTTACTGTGTTTGGCATATTGAATATGTCATGGGTAGCTTGCCAGGCTTTGCCTTGCAGGCGAGATACTCTCGGTAGCTTGCCAGGCTCTCCAAGAGGGGCAGAGGAATCAAACTCAGGTAGACCAGGTCGGCCGCGTGCAAGGCAAATGCCCTACCCACTGTGCTATGGCTCCAGTGCATGAAGAAAATTAAAATAAAAAAATTAAAAATCAACTAAAATTACCTACACCCAGTAGTAATTAGAATTTTTAAAAGTTGGATAATGGGGGCCTGAGCGATAGTACAACAGGGCTTGATCCCCAGCACCCTGTGTAGTCCCCTGAGCCCTCCAGAAGTAATTCCTGACTGCAGAGCCAGGACTAAACCTTGAGCACCGCTGAGTGTGGCCCAAAAACAAAAAAGTTGGATAATGATGGTAGTAACAAGGAGATGATAGCAATGTAAATGAGGGTTTTTTTTTAAGTCCTTGAAATTTTATCTAGCCCTCGAATGTTTAAATATGGAGTCACTGTAGATAAAAGAGAACAACAAATGGCCAAAGGCAACAGAAAATGAAAGCTAAGCATACATTGGTTGATAAGAGGACAGGATGTGGGGGGGGTGTCAGGAGCACTAGAAAAAAGGTGGAGGGAAGTGGACACTAGTGGAAGGTGTGTTGTTGGAACACTTTACACATGAGCCTATCATTAACAGTGCTGTAAATAATGGTGTAAAGTAACCTCAAATAGATTTTTTTGCTTAAATTCCTGAAAGACAGTCATCTTATGAGAAGGAACTCAGAATCATAAAGATAATAAACTTTCTCTGGACAGTGGTCAGGGAGAGTAACACTTTGGTAGAGGGTGTATACCCAGTGTCCCCCAAAACATAAATAGTTTCCATACTGTAAACCAACATTATCTCAATAAATCCAAAAAAAAGTTTTTGTTTGTTTTTATTTTGGAGCCATACCTGGTGGTGCAAAGACTTATTCCTGGCTCTGTGGGCTCAGGGATCATGCCTGGCAGGGCTTGGGAGACCATCCAGGCAGAGGATTGAACCCAGGTGAGCTGCGTGCAAGGCAAGCACCTGACTTGCTGTGTAGTCTCTTTGACACCAAAAACATACCTTTAAAAGTCTTTTAAAATTTAATTCTGGGAATGGAGCGATAGCACAGCGGGTAGGGCATTTGCCTTGCACACGACCAACCCGGCTGACCCGAGTTCGGTTCCTCTGCCCCTCTTGAAGAGCCCGGCAAGCTACGGAGAGTATCTCGCCTGCACGGCAGAGCCTGGAAAGCTCCCCGTGACATATTCAATATGCCAAAGACAGTAACAAGTCTCACAATGTTACTGGGCCCGCTCGAGCAAATGGATGAACAACAGGAGGACAGTGCTACAGTGCAGTTAAATTTATTTTGTTATTTTTTATTATTATTATTTTTTAATCGCCATGAGATAGTTACAGAACTTTCCTGTTTGAGTTTCAGTCAATGATCGATCACTCAACCCTACAGCAATGCACATCTCCCACCACCAAGGTCCCCAGTATCCATCCCCATCCCACCCCTCCCCTGACTCCATGGCAGAGAATCTCCCCTATATTCTCTTTTGTATTGCCTGTTATGAATAGCATAAGATGTTGCAGCTGCACTATCCTGGAATTCTAAAATTTTAGATAATTAGGTTCTGGAGAAATCTCTGCAGCGAGCTGCTCCTGCTCGGTTCAGAGATTCTTTTGTATGTCTCTGGATCATGGCCATTAAGGAGCTTAAATAGCAGCTGGAGGCAGTTTGTGGGCATGACCTCCAGGGTCTCATGGGGATGGGGAGATGAGAAGGACCAGCCCATCCCCTATCCCTTGAGGTCTGGAGTTCGCCATCACTGAACCTGTGTATTTGCACTCTCACTGGGTTCTGGAAGTTGTCGGCCTCCTCTGGGGAATCTTAGCAGGCAGGTGGAGGGACAATGCATGCTCCTGTCTGAAGCACTCTGGGGAAGTCAGCCTGGTTTAAAGTCCGAAGGCATCTCTGCGGGGAGCTGCTCCTGCTTGGCTCAGAGATTCTTTTGTGTGTCTCTGGATCATGACCTTTAAAGAGCTTAAGTAGCAGCAGGAAACAGATTGTGGGCGTGACCTCCAGGGTCCCGTGGGGATGGGGTTGGGGTTGCTGAGGAAGAGCATGAGAGGGACCTGCCCATCACCTATCCTTTAAAGCCTGGACTTGTGGTCACTGAACCCACATACCTGCACTTCTGGAAATTGGCAGCCACCGGGGTTTTTAGGGGCAGGTGGAGCAGAGGCCTCTTTTCGGCATGCTGCTCTTTTCTGAGATTCATTTATGAGTCTCGGGTTTTGGTGTCTTATTTGGTGATTATATTTTAGTAGCCATCTCTTTTATCAGTTTTTATGTGTTTTCTATCACTTTTTCCTTTTTTTCTTTCCTTTTTTATTTTCTTGTCTTTTGAGACACAACCCATGGCACTCCTGGCTCTATACACAGGAATCACTCTACTCCTGAAAGAACTCAGGACCATATGAGCTGCCAAGGAATGAGTCTAGGTCAGCTGCATGCAAGGTAAACACACTACCTTCTGTACTATCTCTCCAGCTCCAGTAAATTTTCTTAGGTAATGTTTCATTTCATTTTCAAGTGTGTTATCACAAATTCTCCTGCATATATTTAAATCACTCTTGACTATTTTCCCTTTCTTATTCGACTTTTGGTTTTTTTTTCTTGATCACCCCAGCTAACAGAATATTTCATACCAGTCACTTTGTTTTATGGTGTCCTGGAATCAAATCCAGGCTTCTTATATTCAAGACGTGTCCTTTATCACCCCAGATCCCCCCAAAAACAACTTCCTCACCAACTTTTTTTCTATTTATTTAAGATTCTATATTTATGTTGTGCTTTCTAGATTCATCTGATTGCTTTTTTTTGGGGGGGGTCACACCCAGTGATGCTCAGGGCTTGCTTCTGGTTCATCACTCAGGAATTATTCCAGATGGTGCTTGGGGAACCATATGTGATGCTGGGGATCAAACCCTCCTGGTCAGCCACGTGCAAGGCAAAAATGCCCTACCCACTGTACTATTACTCTGCTCCCTGTTTTTATTTTCTGTGGTGTACTGGGGTACTGAAAATGTGGTTCAAGAAAAGGTAGGAAGAGCAAGACTGAGAAAATACCAGAGAATTCTATTAGAGATGAACTGCTATGATTTCTGTTGTTATCCAGAAGACTGATAGATATGCTATGTATGGACCTCAGTGAAGGAGAGACCTGATATGAAATGGCACTCAAATGTCCTACCTTTCCACACTGAGCTCTGGTACATCTCTGAAAGAAAGGATATTGAACAGACAAGACAAGTTCTCCTGGAGCTAATTCTGAGGAAGTCTCAACTGTGTGAGAGCTGTCCTAACCCATATGTCATAATGCAATTATGAACTCATAACTCTCACTTTCATAATACTCATGCCAGACCTTTGGAAGTAAAGAGACCAAGAGTCATCTAGCTATAGTCATGAGAGTTAAATTATGTGTAAGAGATATGGCCTGATCCACTAGGCCAAGCAGGAGTGGGAAAAGAGAGGATCAGATGCAGAGGCAATGAGAATCTGGTACAGAAACAAAGAAATAGTAGTCTTTACTCGCCATTCATTTTCTATTTAATCCTGATGACAGACAGAGGATCATTTGATTTTGGTTATACTCAATCAGAAATCCAAGCGCAGTATGCCACTGAAAAAAGAAGCAATCAGTAAGCGGTCCCCAAATACTAAAAAGAACAAGGTGGGTTAAATCTTTATGGATGCCCCCTAAAAACCCAATTTCCAGAACCCAATGATAAGTGCAGGTATATGGGTTCGATGATGGCAAACTCCAGGCCTCAAGGACAGTGGATGGGCCAGTGCCTTTCTTCCCCTGTCCCATGGGACCCTGAAGGTCACTCCCACAAACTGCCTCCAGCTGCTGCTTAAGCACCTTAACAGCCATTATCTAGAGACACACAAAAGAATCTCCAAACTGAGCAGCTCACTGGAAGAGATGCTTCCGGACTTTAAGCCAGGCCGACTTCACCGGGTTGTCTCAGATGGGGGCAGGCATCATTCCTCCACCTACCCCCGAAAAACCCCCGGTAGCCGCCAACTTCCAGAACCCAATGAAAAGTGCAGGTATGTGGGTTCAGTGATGGCAAACTCCGGCCTCAAGGGATAGGGAATGGGCTGGTCTTTCTCATCTCCCCATCCCCATGGGACCCTGGAGGTCACGCCCACAAACTGCCTCCAGCTGCTACTTAAGCTCTTGGCTTCCATGATCCAGAGACACACAAAGGAATCTCTGAACCAAGCAGGAACAGCTCGCTGCAAAGATTTCTCCAGACTCTTAATTATCTGGAATTTTGAAATTCCAGGAGCACATAGCCACTCTCACAGTCACGCAACATCTTATGCTATTCATAACAAGCAATACAAAAAAGAGTATGAAGGAGATTGTCTGCCATAGAGGCCGGAGGCGGGGGGGGGGGGGGGGGGAATATGAGGACCTTGGTGGTGGAAGATGTGCACTGGTGGAGGGTTGCATGATCGATCATTGTATGACTGAAACTCAAACAGAAAAGCTTTGTAACTATCTCACGGTGATTAAAAAATAATAATAGCACTGTAGCACTGTACTGTCCTCCCATTGTTCATCGATTTGCTCAAGCAGGCACCAGTAATGTCTTCATTGTGAGACTTGTTGTTACTGTTTTTGGCATATCAAATATGCCACGGGGAGCTTGCCAGGCTCTGCCGTGCGGGCGGGATACTCTTGGTAGCTTGACGGGCTGTCCGAGAGGGACGGAAGAATGGAACCCAGGTCAGCCACATGCAAGGCAAATGCCCTACCCACTGCGTTACAAAAAATAGTAATAGATAAAATAGACATTCTGAATTAAAAAAGTAATGTGTAGTTCATGCCAAATTCAATCAGCTTAATGAATGGCTGAGTAAGTAGCAGAACTCCTACATTAAAAAATAATAGTAAATAAACAAATCTTCATGGAGTTAAGAGATCTACAGAACATTTACATCTAGTCCCGAGGGTAGGGGGCTGTGCCTTTTATAGTCTAAACAATCTAATAGCAATTCAGTTTTCCATATTTTCCTTCCTCTTCATGGGTTCTCAGAGTCTGTATCTCAATGAAATGAAGCATGAACATAAAGAATAAAAGTTACCAAGAAATATGGGAGGAGAGGGTCATGTTGGGCAAATGTGTAGCTCAGCAATAGAGCACATTTTGCGTTTGTGACACCTTGGGTTCTATCCCTCACCCTGAAAAAAGGGCAGGGGAGAAGAAAAGAGAAGACAGGTGAGCATGTAAAAACTGTTAACTAAATAGTAGAATGCTGGGGACCAGGGTAGTAGCACAGTGGGTAGGCACTTGCCTTGCATGCAGTCAACCCAGGATAGGCCATATGGCAACCTGGCACCCCACGTGGTCCCCTGATTCTGCAGGAGTGATCGCTGAGCAGGAATCAGGAGTAATATCTGAGTACTGCTGCGTCTGACCCCAAAATAAAATAAACAACAACAAAAAATAGAGTGCTCAGGCTGGAAAGACAGTACAGGTGTTAAGGTGCTTGCTTTGCATGTAGCTAACCCAGGATCAATCCCCAGAGCCATGTCCCCCAACCAGCACCAGGAGTGATCCTGAGCACAGCCAGGTACGACACAACAAACCCCGCCTCCCCAAATGAAAGAGTAAAATGGTCACACTATAGAGAAAGGCTGGGAACAGAATATGTGACAAAAGTATTAGAACTTATCATAAGGTATTGAAACTTGCATCAGTTAGGTCAGAAAGAAATCAACCAATGGTGGTTTGAGAGTAGAATGAACAAAGAAAATGAAGAAATTCTATTATGTGGGAAGGGGTAGGATGGAGTTTTTTGTTTGTTTGTTCTGGGTCATACCCAGTGGTGCTCAGGGATTACTCCTGGCTCTACACTCAGGAATCACTCCTGGTGGGATCAGAGGACCATATGGTATTCTGAGGATTTAACCCAGATCGGAGCTTGCGAGGTAAGCAACTTACTGTACTATTGCTCCAGCCTTAAATACATTTCCTGCCAAAAATCACTCCTGGAGGACTCGGGACAATATGAGGTGCTGGAGAACAATTCTACTGTGTGCAAGGTAAATACCCTACTTACCATTGCTCCATCCCGGAAGAGGCATTTTAGACCACACCTGCCTGTGCTCAAGGGTCACTCCTGGTGGTGCTCAGAATCAAATCAGGGTTGGCCACATGTAAAACAAGAACCTTAACCCCTGTACTATCTCTCAACCCCTGGGAAAGCATTATTAAGCCAAACCTCACAGACCTAGTAAGCACTGTCACTGGAACATGATTTAAAATATCTCTCAGGATTCCTGAATGCACACAGATAATTCCTAATGAGTTCTTCTTTGGTTGATGCACCTGCAAGGGTGAGAAAATGGAGTGGAGTGTTGATATAGGAAAAAGTGAGGAGGCCTCACTAGCCAGAGCCTCCAGGTCTCAGGCTCTCAGTCAGTCTCCTGCTAACTCAAAGAAGGGAGAACTGTGAAAGGTTCTAGGCACTGAGGCTGGAGTGATGCTACAGTGGGTAAGGCATTTGCACATGAATGACCCAGGTCCTTCATAAACTCCCCTGAGCTCACCGGGAGTGATTCATGATACCTGAGTGTAGAGCCAGGAGTAAGCGCTGAGCACAGCTGGGTGTGCCCCCCCTCCCCCCATACACACACAAAAAAAATCGGGGCACCTACAAAAGCTTCTGGTAGCTCAAGTAAGGAAGTCCACTGGGTAACTGCTCTCTCATCTCTGCCTAGAAACTTACATTGAGGACTCCAAAACGGAAATTAAATGCATCAAATGCAGCAATTAAGATCCAGGCCTGGTGGCGTGGCGTTTTGGTGCGTAGGACACTGTTGCATGCAGCCCTCAGGGCATGGATTATTCAGTGCTGGTGGAGGATACAACTGGAGAAGATAAAGCAGATTAAGAAGAAGGAAGCCCTGATTGCCTACGCGAGGAGAGAAAGGGCAGTGATCAAACTCCAATCTTTGATCCGTATGTGGCGCGTCCGTTGGCGATACTGTCAGGTGCTCAATGCCATCTACACCATCAAGTACCATTGGCAATGCCAAAACTGCCAGACTTGTTCTCTTCTTCGGGGTCAATGTGTAGTTACAACCACTCACTTGCAGTTTCACATTGAGGTCATCAACCCCTGAAGGCTGACGTGAAGGGTGAATACTGCATCTGGTATTCTCAGTAAAGGTCAACCTGGTCTGGTATATTACACAGTCTCCCCCAGCTGATGGGAACCTGAGAACTTAGGTCATGGTGCTACTAATTCTCCCTGGGAAGAGCTTCTGGGAGGTTTTCACCTAAGTGTCCACAACCCTATTCTGGACTGACAATGACCACTTATTCCTTACCTGTATTTTCTTCACCAGAACAGAAACTGAGGTTCAAACCTAACCCATTACCCCCCAGTTCTAATCTCAAATCCATTCTTTTCTTCTCATCTAAGAAGAATCAGAGTGCGATGCAGCTCCCTGAATATTCTGTGCAGTTCTACCCCAACACTTGATTAACTCTATAGGAACAGTCTAACATAGCCCCAGATAGAAAACAGGGTGCTGGGCCAAAGAGATAGTACAATGGGTAGGACACTCCCCTGGTACACAGCCGACCAGGGTATGATCCCCAGGACATAATGGCTCCCCAAGCCCTTCCAGGAGTTATCACTGAGCATTGAGACAGAAAAAAACAATGAATACTGCTATATGTGGTCCAAAAACAAAGGCAAAAAAAAAAAAAGAAAGAAAAACCTTGATGGGTGAGACTGGGCATGCTGATCAACTGGTGATGACCCTAAGGATGAATAGAAAATGGAAATTCCAGGGTCTGAAGCCAGAGCACAGCAGGGTCTAAAGCAGAGCACTTGCCTTGCATGCAGTACTCATATGGCCCTCTGAATACCACCAGGAACGATCCCTTAGTGCAGAACCATGAAAAAAACCCTAAACACAATTGAGTGTGGCCCAAAAGCAAAAGGAAGAGAAGGAAGGAAGGAAAGGAGGAAGGGGAAGGGAAAGGAGGGAGAGGGGAGGGATGATGAAAGAGGAGGAAAACAGGAATTCAAGCCCTTCAACTCGGTCTCCACAATTTTTCCACCAAAATATCTCTCCTCTAAGAATGGCAACAGAAAAGGCTTCCTCTGATATCACGCCATCCCTACTCTTGTTTCTACTCCTGGTGGCTCTCTCACTGTCCAAGATAGTCATATTTATCTCCTTATCTTTTACCTCTAAGCCCCCCCCCCTCTCTCTCTCCCCTCTCCCTTCCTCAGTTGCTTCTTTGGTCATGCTAAAACATTCTCTATCTGTGCTCTCCCATGGTTGTGAGTCACTCATAGATGTAGAGCCCTTGAAATGTGTCTAGAGCAACTTAGAACAGCGTTTTTCTTTTTATTGAAACGTACTTAGCTTAAGTAGCATAGATGGCTTTTGTCTATATTACTAGGCAATGAGAGCTGGAGCGATAGCACAGCAGGTAGAGCCTTTGCCTTTCAAGCGGCAACATGGCCGACCTGAGTTCGATTCCTCCGCCCATCTCAGAGAGCCTGGCAAGCTACTGAGAGTATCTCGCCCGCATGGCAAAGCGTGGCAAGCAACCCGTGACATATTCGATATGCCAAACACAGTAACAATAAAGTCTCACAATGGAGACGTTACTGGGCCAGCTCGAGAAAATCGGTGAGCAATGGGAAGACAGTGACAGTGAGCTTTTGGGATAATTTTTACCAACAATCACACGACTTTCCAAATCTCTTTCTAGGGTTTCATTATCTAAAACTTTATTATTTCCTTCCAGTTTATTTTCAAATACACCCAACAAGATAGTTCTTCTAATGCTGTAAGTCTTCTATCATTTGTGCCCACCACATCTTGTACGGTCTTCACTTCTAAATGCTGAGCATTTTTCTTCCTCTGGTTCACATTCTAAGGTTATTATAATCTCCAGCCTCTGACGCTCAGGGCTTACCCATGGCTCCATGCTCAGGGGTCACTCCTGGTGTGGCTTGGGAGTATTAGCCACGGTGCTGGGGTCAACCCCAGGTTGGTGCATGCCAAGCAAGTGCCTTCCCCTCTGAGCTGTTTCTCCAGCTCAGCCTCCAGCAAAGTTTCTTTTTTTTTTTTTTGGTGGGGTTATAGTTTTGAACCACAACCGCAATGCTCAGGGCTCACTCTTGACTCTGTGTTCAGGGATTACTCCCGCAGAACTCAGGGCACCTCGGAGTGGGAAATTGGACACGGAACCTGGGTCTGCCACAAGCAAGGCAAGTTCCCCTACCTTCTGTACTGTCACTCCAGCCTGTTGCAAATGGGACTATGGCTAGCCCTGCCATGCCCCGGGGTTGTGTAGGGGTGGAGAAGTTGGAGTGTCTGAATATAAATTTGGTTGGAATCTTGTGGCGGGGTGGAGGGGGGCTGACTTTTCACTAGGATAAAGGGTGCCTGTGTTTGGAGCGCTGAGGCTGGGCACGGTGGGTGTGGCAGGTGCCCTGTGCATGGGAAGCTGCGGTACATGCAACCTCCGACCCTCCCCGCCCCAAACCTCCTAGCCTGGCCTCAGGGCCGGCTCCCCTCAGCGGTCTTCACTTCTAAATGCTGAGCATTGTTCTTCCTCTGGTTCACATTCTAAGGTTATTATAATCTCCATCCTTTTAACAATCTGGTTTCCCTTGGTCCTCTTTATCCCACTTCCAATGTGTGTGGGATGAAATCAACCATCAATCTGTTCTGTGTCTGCAGAAGAGTGAGCCTGGGTACTGGAAAACAAACCTGTAACTCATGGGTTTACATTGATAACAGTTCCACTGAACAACATTTCCAATAAATTTCTGAAATATTTTCATGTTTATTTTTTCTGAATTGGATAATTCATACCACTTCCTCTTCAATGTCCATGTTCCCCATGTCTCCTTTTGAATAAAGTGATGAAGGAATGGAAACAGCCTGGACTCTCTCTTCCTATCACCTCATTTTCTATCTGGACCTCACCAATGCTCCCCTCTAAGTGAAATAAAGGTAAAGGTAAAGGTAAAGGCCCTCCCATTGATCGTCGATTTGCTCGAGCAGGCCCAGTAACGTCTCCATTGGAGACTTTGTTGTTACTGTGTCTGGCATATCGAATACTCTCGGTAGCTTGCCGGGCTCTCCGAGAGGGGCGGTGGAATCGAACTCGGGTCGGCCATGTTGGCCGCTTGTAAGGCGAACGCCGTACCCGCTGTGCTATCGCTCCAGTGAATAATCTAATCCTACCAAAGGCCAACCCTTCTGCTACCCTATTACCATTTCAAGATTTTGATTATGCATTTATAACCTTTATGCATATATACACTGCTCCTGTATCAAAAGTACCAGTGTATATCTCTTCCATCTCTAAAAAAACAAAATGCCTTGATGAATTGCTGTGCCGGTTCTTTGTTCCTCTCATAGCAAAACATGTCATTGTTTACACTTCTATTCCTACCAGTTTACCTTCATTACATTCCAATAAAACTTTAAAATGTGCCTATCAAGATGGCAGGATGGGGGATAGGAGGGAACTTGGGAACTCTGGTGGAGGGAACTTAATACTGGTGATAAAATTGGTGCTAGAACATTATATATCTAAAACTCAAATATCAATAACTTTATAAATCATATTTATTCAATAATTTTTAAAATTTTTTTTGTTTTTTGAGCCACACTTGGGGGTGTTCAAAACTTATTCCTGAATCTGCACTTAGGGATCAATCCTGGCTGGCTCATGGAACGATATGTGGTTCTGGAAATCAAACCCAGATCAGCCACTTGCAAAGCAAACACAGGTGAACAGGTAAGGCACTTGCCTTGCAAATGGCTGACCTGGGTTCAATCCTCAGCATCCTATTTGGTTCTCCAAGCACCACAGGAATAATCCTTGCACACTGCTGGCTGTGGTCTCAAACGCAAAATAAATAAAATACATAATTCAAAGGTCAATAAAAAATACATAACAATCCACATAAAATCTAATGTATATTCCTAGAAAATAAGCACATTATAAAAAATATAAATGGATGGGGTATGGTGCCACCAGCAGGTCAATCTGTACCTGTGAGGCAAGTGCATCAGCAGCCTGATGACGCCTTCAGACTTCCAAATACCACAAAATTGCTGCTGTGCCTTTGGCCAGACCCCAAAACTTGGGGCAGAGTTTGCCAAGAAAGTAAACAGCCAAAAGTTAGGTATGTGGGAAACACACCCACAAACACCTACGGCTCAGCTATATAATTGGAGGCATGGCCTCTCTGGTTCCTGATCAAACTGCTTAACGACCATGATCCCAGAGACTCAGAACACAACAGCTTTTGGCAAAAATGTGTCCAGTCCCTGCAGTGGGTTGCAGGTGCTGGGCCACCCCAGGTGGGAATAGGTTCCGTGCCTTGGCCTGTTCCCTCTGGCGACCCGGTGGCTACCATTCTTTAGAGGCCACTGGACAGTCAGGTTTGGGCCCACAGTGACGTAGGGCCTCACGGGATGGGGGTGAAGCCGGCCCTTTTCTCCCCGTCCCAACGAGACCCTGGGTCACCGTCCACGAACAGCCTCTCTGGCTCCTAATCAAGCTGCTTAACGGCCATGATCCCAAAGACTCAGGAACAAATCTCAAAACACAGCAGGTTATGGCAGAAATCCCTCCAGATTTAAATGTTAAAATTTCAGAATTTCAAAATCACACGGCCACTACTGCAGTCACACGACATCATATGTTATTCATAACCAGTATCTTGCCTGCACGGCAGAGCCTGGCAAGCTCCCTGTGACGTATTCGATATGCCAAACACAGTAATAACCAGTAATCGAAAACAAATTTTCTACTGTTGCCTTTTCAGCAGATCTGAGTGTTGGGGTAAAATCCCAAATAATATGGTGGGTCTGGTGTCAAAATACTGAATGTAATCAAAGTAGAGAGAGAGTGATGTGGAAATCATCTGCCTCACAGGTAGGGGGACAGTGTGGGATGGGGCTATACTGGGGTTTTTGGGGGTGGAGAATGGGCACTGGTGAAGGTATGGGTGTTTCATTTTATGACCGAAACTTAAACCCAAAAGCTTTGTAACTGCTCTCACAGTGATCCAATAAAATTATAAAAAATGGGGAAAAAAAGTAAGGTGGAGTTAATGCCTAATTCAATCAGCTAATCAGTGGCTGAATAAATAGCATTACCCCTACACACACACACACACACAAAATATATATATATATGGAACTGGAGTGGTATTACAGTGGGTAGGTGCTTGCCTTGCATACAGTTGAGCCTGATTTGATCCCAAGCATCCCATAGAATCCCATGAGCAC